TACATGTAAGGCCCACATTGAGACTCAGCAGTTTATCCTAACAGTTTGGGGCAAACCATAGGTCAGAGGGTAAGGAACAGGGGTTGTCCTTCAAGGGGGTTGTTGTGCACACATCGCAACAGAATGTCATTGAAAGAAGAGCCTTTCAACTCAGTTGATCTTATCCTTCCAAACCTGGGCCTTGTTGGAAGTAATTTCTAATAGGTGAGCTAAAGGTATCATCCTGGCTCAGTTGGTAGCACTCTTGTCTCTTGAATCAGAAGGTTGTGGGTTCAAGCCCCATATCAGGACTTTGAGCTCATAGCCTCGACTGAAGCTCTAATGGCAGTGATGGGTGGGTGGGGGGAGTGTTGGAAATGCCATCCTGAGGAATAATAATATTAAGAATTCTTGCATTTGATATGGAGCCTTATCGTGTGGTTGAGATGTCTCAAAGTGCTTCACAGGATATACTATTAAATGGATTGACTGTATTTTGTGGGTAAAATGCAGCAGGCAGTCGCACACAGAAACGTCCCACAAATAAATAGCTGTGGAGTGAGCGAGAATGAAGAAGACATACCTGAACAAGGAAGACATAGAGTCTGATGAAAAGTGTTTCGAATTAGTCAATTTACTGAAATTGAAGAAGGTAAGAGCATGCAGTCAGCGGAGCGCTCTGCTCTGCCATTTGGAGCGAGATCACAGAGAGAGTCCGGATGGACAGGACCTTTTGATCCACTTGACCACCTGATGGTCTTCCCAGCACAGCATTGAGCTGTTTCTTAAATGAATCCAGGCCAGAGTGTCTGCTACTCAGCCTGCTGATACAGCTTTGGCCCTGGATCCTGTTGATTCGTAGACTAGTGTTCTCTCTTTGACATGCACCAGGTGCTCTCTCTCTCTCTCTCTTTCACTATCTCTCTCTCTTTCTCTCTCTCTTTCTCACTCTCTCTCGCTGTTGAATTACACAGGTGAAGCCTGTCCAGACAATGTTACATTCTCTGGGAATATTTTTAATATTGAAATCTGTGCATCTGATGGGAAGCAGAATGCAGAGTTTTGCAGGATTTCAGCTGGGCTCAACTCTCTTCGCAGGCTTCACTGGAGATTAGCAAGAGAAACTTGGATGCTCTCCTGAAATTTTATTATTTCAGTTAAAAGAAAGCTACCTCTCTAGACAGATTTAACCTGTCATCTATATCTTTTTTTTAATGTGTCTCTGGAGCTCCTTTGAAGGTCAGTCTCGAGATACTCCTCGGTCACAGGGTCAGATCCTGAGATACGTTGATCGTGGCTGGACAGCATTTGGGGCTAGAGTTTGGTTGGGGTTTAATCAATGAGGCTTCTTATCCCAGATGGAACATGCACAAGTGAGCAGCGTATTGGGTTTGGCTGTGATACCCTCCCCCACTCCCCCCACCAACCCCCTCCCCCACCACCCCCTCACTATGCGCCAGACACTCATTCTCAACATTCACACACGACAATAAAAGAGGGGAAAGGAGTCCAAGATCTTCAAGAGAGGAGTGGAGGAGAGCGAGTGTGGAGGAGATAACAGTGGATCCCTTTTCATTCACTAAATTTTTACTTATTACATATTTGAAGACATTTGGTGTCACGTTGGCCATTTGTTGCCAATAATAACATCTTTTGCGAGACTGGGAAAAAAAAGCAGGAATATTATCTCCATTGTAATGAATCTGCTTTGTGATTCATGTCTTAAGTATTGAAATGTGTTTCACTCGATCTGCCAGGCTTGGCTAGTGTCTGCCTTGTGATGATTTATTTCACAACTTTCTGAATAATAATAATAATAATAATCCTTGCATTTTATACAGCGCCTCATATCTTCAGGACGTCTCAAAGCACTTCACAGAATATACTGTAAAGTGAATTGACTGTATATTTTGTGGGTGAAACACAGCAGCCAATTGCACACAGCAGCGTCCACACAAACAGTCGTGGATTGAAGTGACCACATTTTGGTGTGTGAAGAGTTTATCACCCCAGTAAAAAAGGGATTATTATTATATTATTATTATATAATCACTTTCTTTTTGTTTGTCATCTCTCTGTGTCACACACACCACACACACACACCACACACACACCACATACACACACCATACACACACACCACACACACACCACAAACACACACACACCACAAACACACACACCAAACACACACACACCACACACACACCACAAACACACACACACCACACACACACCACAAACACACACACACCACATACACACACCAAACATACACACACCACACACACACCACAAACACACACACCAAACACACACACACCACACACACACCACAAACACACACACACCACACACACACCACAAACACACACACACCACATACACACACCAAACATACACACACCACACACACACCACAAACACACACACCAAACACACACACACCACACACACACCACAAACACACACACACCACATACACACACCAAACACACACACACCACACACACACCACAAACACACACACACCACAAGCACACACACACACCACATACACACACCAAACACACAAACACACCACAAACACATACAGACACCACAAGCACACACACACACCACAATTACACACACACCAAACACACACACGCCACACATACTACACACCACACGCACACACACAGAATAACTGAACTCTCCTATTGCTGTCCATACCATGGAGAATAAGTCGTTAATCTGGATTCATCAGCGTTTCAACCACTTATTCTCAAAACATGGATGACTGTTCTTTGACGTCCAGTGATCTTAAGAGGATAATGAGGAGCAGTTTAAACTGCACGTTCTACTCTCCTCTTGTTCACTTTGTCAAAAATATCTTCCTATAATCTCTGATCACATTTAGTTTTATCGTCAAATAAAATTCTGCCTCCATGTAACTATACTGACAGCAGAGAAGGCATGGATATTGTGTCTAATTACAGAGTGACGCACGGACACATTTATTATTTAGATGAGCTTTACTTTGCAGAGTTTTGACAATTACTCAGCAAATTGCAATTTTAACTATTTTCTGACTTTTTCCTGGTAATTGAGACATTGAACAATGACAGGTTCAGTATTTGCTTTTGATCAAATGGATCTGCAGTTATGTTTTCACCATTGACACAGAGAGAGAAAGAGAAAGAGAGAGAGAAAACCATTATTTTTGATCAGGCAACACAGCGTTCCTCAGATGGATCACTTTAAATCTGAACTTTGAACTTACTAGTAACGCCCAATGTTTGCAAAATACGTTGGATTATAGCATCTCGCTGGGCTGGGCTGTGTTATACTGGACTGTGTGTGCTGGGCTGGGCTATGTTGTGCTGTGCTGGGCTGTGTTGTGTTGTGCTGGGCTGTGTTGTGTTGTGCTGGGCTGCACTGTGCTGGGATGAGCTGGACTGGGCTGTGTTGTGCTGGGCCGTACTGGGCTGGTGTGCCGTGCTGGACTGGGCTGGTGTGCTGTGCTGGGCTGGGCTGGTGTGTTGTGCTGGGCTGGGCTGGTGTGTTGTGCTGGGCTGGGCTGGTTTGTTGTGCTGGGCTGTGTTGTGCTGGGCTGCGCTGTGCTGGGATGAGCTGGACTGGCCTGTGTTGTGCTGGGCCGTACTGGGCTGGTGTGCCGTGCTGGACTGGGCTGGTGTGCTGTGCTGGGCTGGGCTGGTGTGTTGTGCTGGGCTGGGCTGGTGTGTTGTGCTGGGCTGGGCTGGTTTGTTGTGCTGGGCTGTGTTGTGCTGGGCTGCGCTGTGCTGGGATGAGCTGGACTGGCCTGTGTTGTGCTGGGCCGTACTGGGCTGTTGTGCTGTGCTGGGCTGGGCTGGTGTGCTGTGCTGGGCTGGTGTGTTGTGCTGGGCTGGGCTGGTGTGTTGTGCTGGGCTGGGCTGGTGTGCTGTTGCTGGACTGGGCTGGTGTGTTGTGCTGGGCTGTGCACTCAGCCCACCTGAACCCGCTCGCTCACTCTCTCTGTTAGTATAACAACGTTCACATTGTGAGCACATCCCAATGTGTGGGCAAACCGGGCAGCAGCCAATTTACCCACGGCAATGTCCCACAAACAGCCATGAAGCGAATGACCCATTTTATTTGGGAGAGATTGTCAGCCAAGAAACTGGGAGAAACTCGCTTCTCTTTTTGTATAGTTGTCTTGGGATCTTTAGTGTCCACCTGAATTAGGCAAGGACCCCAGGACCTCGGTTTAACATCTGATCTGAAAGATGCACCTCCGACAATGCAGAAAACTCCCTACTGCACCCTCTCCCCCGCGCAGTTGACTTGTACATCAGCCGCTCTGAGGAGAGCCTCGTCGGTTTATCGAGAGCAACTTTAACTCGAGCAGAGCGACGGAGGAGAGAGGACGAGACAGTATTTGAAGTGGGATGAAATGCTTGCGACATGGCGTATAGATAACGCCCCACCCGCCCCCACCCCCTCTCGCTGTGCATTGAAATGGAGAGTGCTGTGGCCTTTAGTATTTATGGATAGTTGGGAGACTGCACAAGATCAACTCTTAGAGCTGTCTGTAAATTAATATGTTGGCAGGAGCTCCTGAAGTGAGGCACGCTCCTGTCCTCTTAAATGTGGTCAGGCATCTCACATCAAATGTAATCAAGCTACGTGGAAATTGTAAATTGACTCTGAGCATAAGAAGTGAGAGACTACAAGTAATATTAGAGAGCTTGAAGTTTACTGTTGCCGAAGGAATTTTCATTTAGTGCTAAATACCAAACGATGGGAAGAGCAGACTGGGTTATTGTCAAATAAATCGCAGTGACACAAACGTGATTTCTGTATTTTTTTTGTGTGTGTTTGTGTGTCGGTTTGTATGTGTGTCGGTTTGTATGAGACATCTGAAAGCGTTTCACAGAATATACTGTAAAGTGTAGTGACTGTGTATTCTGTGGGTGAAAACATGCTGCTTGGTTTGGGAGAAGCTGATGTTGAGGAACGTTCCTGCCAGTAACTGCTTGTGACTTTGTGATTTCCAGGCTTGGATTCGATGTGAATGACTTTTGCCCAGAACACGACCCGTTCAAAGTGGAGCAGCCAGAGAAAGCCAGTCCCAGCCTTGGCCTTGGCGTGGTGATGAGCGGAGGGGCCAAGGCGGGAGGTGGGGTCGACCAGAATGCAGACCCGGCCCACCCCAGCGCTGTGGACGGTAACCCCAAGGGTGACAGTGTGAGCAGCGAGATGAAGGAGCTGTCACTGCAGGCAGTTCAAACACTGCCCCCGCTCACCGAGCGCAAGAACGGTAAGGGCTGCCCAACATCCCACCCACTGAGCAACCACAACAACAACAGATTACACTGACACAGCGCCACGCACGTCGGGGGGAGCCGAGCAGGAAGCATCCTTGTTCCCAGTAATACGTTCAGCTCCTCAGAACTCTTCGCAACTTCAGCTCCGATCAGATTTACGCACAAACCAAACCAAATATCTGCTGAACGACTGAAGTAAATGAAGCCAGGGAAGTTACACACCTTCCAAGCGTGTGCGGATATGTCAATATATAATATAATGATATATTCATAGTGGCCATTTATAATGGAATAATGTAAATACGCTGTTCAGTGTATGTGCAATTGAATGTCTTCCTTTGGGACTGAAGGTTCCTCAGCAGGTAAGTGGTCTCAGGCCCTGGTTTAGTTAGTACCGAATCCTTCATTCAATCTGGGGAGGAACTGGGAGAAGATGACATTTACAGCTAATTTAATTATACATCCATTGAACTCAGAGCTGGTCAAGTAGTGGAAATTAGGAAACGTTTCTTCACACAGAGGGTTGTGAACATGGCCTAGAAGGACATAGAGGCAGAATTGACCAGGCTGTTTTAGATAAATATATAGACAGTCTATCTCTTCTCTTTTGCTCTGTTTGTCTCTTTCTCTCTCTCTCCCTCTCTCTCACTTGTTTTCTATCTCTCTGTCAGTCTCTCTTTCTCTCTCTCACTGACACCGATTTACCCGATGTGAATTTTCCAGCATTTCTCAGTCTGTCTCAACCTCTTAAGTGTTTACTTGAATTCAGAGGAAGTTTGTATGTGTGCTGTCATTCAGCTTCTGTGGCAGATAATACAAACAGCACCTGAGGCAACTGCGATTTCAATCGATATTAAGATAGCAGAGTAAGCTGAGCAGAAGCAGAGCAATTTAAACACAGCAGCAGCAGCTCAGAGAAGGGGTTTAAGTTGCTGGAATTTCCTGAAGGTGACTTAAAGAAAATTCTTGCTCATATTTTTTTTCTCTAGTAGCTAAACTTGAGAGATTACATACATCTGGTTGCAATTCCTCTTTGTTTTTGAAGTGAGAGGGAAGTGTTTGTACAAACTTTCTGAGGTTCCTGAGTGTTTCTGTTCTTGAGGCAGCTTTGCTATCATCCCACTACAGAGTGGAACGAGAGAGAATAATTCCGACTCCGCACATACTCATAATAATAATAGTCCACGACTGTTTGTGGGACACTGCTGATCACGATGGGCTGCCATGTTTCGCCCACAAAATATAGTCAGTGCACTTTACAGTATATTCTGTGAAGCGCTTTGAGGCATTTCGAAGACGTGATAAGGCGCGATACCAAATGCAAGGATTATTATTATTATTAATACTTAAAAAGTCAGCGACAGGGATATGGAGAAAAGGCAGGTAAATAGAACTGAAAGGGTTGTTCTTGAGACAGTCAGCGTATACACAAGGGGCCGAAAGGCCATCTGGCACTCGTTGTGTGAAGTCACACATTAACATTGGCCTCTTGGGTGAGATGACTCGAGGTGTGAGATCAGACAGCGAGAGCCGGACTCTGCATGTTGCGGGTGAGAAGAGAAAAGTACGAAAACGTCAATAGAAGTGGCAAGATATTTTTTCTCTTGGCTTACCTTATCTTGTCACAAATCACTTAACATTTCAAGGAACTTGTTTAAAATGTCCCCCGATCTACTCCAACCTTTTATTTTGCTGGAGAATCGTATCCGAGCTGGACAATTCCATTTCCACTCGGACATCTTTGGCTAAGATCCCATCTGCCAGGTTAGGACGGTCGTCAATAATTCTATGGCATAACCGGAATAGAGAAGGAATTTTCCCTGATATCCTGGGCAACAAACCTCCGAATAAACTGGTGATTCTCTCCTTAGCTGTTTGCGGAACATTGCAGAGACAAGAATGGCTACTTGCGTTTGCCCACAAATAGTTGATAGCGATTCCCAGTGAAGCACTTTGAGATATTTCAACATTATAGACGTGATATCAAATGCAACAAATATTTATTTTATCAAAGTTGAAATGGAGTTTAAAGGGCCACTGACAATAAATGAGACAGAGAGGATTCCACAGTCCTACAAAGCCAGGAGATGGCATCAGTGCCATGCTGAGTGCAGTCAGCACTGCAGAGAGATATTTAGCTTCATCGGGTTCACACTGAGCCGTGGTAAGATTTCCCTTTCTCAGGTATCTCAGTCAGCTGCCAGGCGTGGAGTTCAAAGGCAGGCCGGGCGGATTGGGATGAATCCAAAACACTGAGTCCCTCAAACCACATCTTCCTTTTCCTGAGTGCTGGGAGACGGTGATGATTTGTCAAAAGTTGCCCGGTGCAGTTAGTGTTGGGAAGACATTTCAAAATAAACTGCAGATCCCGTGCCAGGTTTATTTACACTTTATTAAAGTCAATGTTAAACACAGTGGTCTAATCCTCCAAGGCTGTTCCACTGCTCATTCCTCAGTCTCACCTCTTTGCCTTGCGGTGGCTCTGCCTGCCTCTAAAATCCTCTTAAACAGCTACTTTTGTTGTTGGTCAGCTTCCTTGAGCTCCCCTTTCCTGCTCAGTGATCCCTGTTGTCCATGTAAAAATGCTTTGATTCATTACAGATAATAATTATAATAATAATAATAATCAGCCTTGCATTGTGGGAGGTGCCATCTTTTGAATGAGATGTAAACCCGAGGACCCATCTGCCTGTGTGATTGGATATCAAAGATCCTGTGGCACTATCGAAAAAGAGAAAGAGTTTCCCCCGATGTCCTGGCTGACAATTCCCCAGATACAATTGGAAGTTTTTGAGACATTGATGTACTCAAATTAGCTGCTGCAATTACCTACAAATACACAGTCACTACATCTTACAGAAAACTCTCTGAAGTGCTTTGAGATGGTTTTAGTGCACTAAGGCACTATATCAAATGTAGGGATTGCGATGATAATTATTATTATATGAAGCTCCTATATAAATGCAAGTTGTTCTTGTTGTAGGTTACAATGATAAATCAGTAATTTTCTTGCCTGAAACCTGAAAGACCAGGTTGGGAATGTTTGAGTGGATTTTACACACAGAACATTTTAAATGTAAAACTGATGAACATTCTTTGTTCCTCGCTTACAATGGAATTTATCATTACAAGCAGAAAAGGAAAGTTCACAGTCATTAATCAACTGAGTGAGCGAGCGAGCGAGCGAGCGAGTGTGACCCTGTTCTTTTCTAACCTCTTGTTTGACGTTTGAACAATACCTCTGGCTGGACTAACACAAACGTCAAGTTTAAAACCACGAAAGCTGGAAAACAAACAGGACCCCAGTTGGATATTGCTCGTTGAATTAAATAAACCATCGATCTGTCAGACCTGGCTGCCAATTGGATGCAGCCCAATCTTTGCCAAAGATGCTGTTTCCCGTCACACTGCCTTGGTCCGTAGTAGACAGCAGTGACTACCTACTGGACGCGGGCTCCGCTGAGCGAGATCAGTCACTGTGACATTAGGGAAGTATTTCCTTCCTCATTTCAGGAGGATTCAGCTGCCCATTGAAGCACAAGATTTTCTAACCCTCTGGAAACAGGATTCATAGAATTATCGGACATTCGCAGCACAGAGTCAGCAATCCAGCCCATCATGTCTGAGCAACATAGACTGAATGAGGGACAACAAAGAAAGTTAATGGGGTGGAGTTGGGGTTAGTGTCCACCTATTACACAGATTAAGGGGAATAAAATGCTGGGTTCAATCTTGGCACTTTTGCACATAGAAAACATGTTGGAAGAGCTACATTGGCATCCAGTCTCAGTATCAGGTACACCTATAAAGGCTTAAGTGCAGTCGGGCTGCTGCCAAAAACAATGTTTTATTTATTTAAACAGTTACATTAAACTTTGTATAAATGTCACAGACTGTAATTCAGCAGTGTAATACCTTCCAAGCAATTTGCACATATTTCACTGACGAGGTGTGATGACGATCACACAATTGGGGAGAATTGGACATTTATATTTTTAGTTTGGTTTTAAACCCTTAAACCCCCTTTTGGCAGCAGCCTCCCCCCTCGGCAGGAGGGATAAGATGTTCTGTGATGCTCCATTCCTGGCTTTGTGCACAGTTGGCAGGGAGAGGAGTTGAAACAGGTGAGTGTCCGTTTGTAAACTTCCCCCTGAGCTGGTATAACTCGTGCCCTTTCAGTACAAAGGTGTCACCTTGGCTGAGTTGGCAGCACTCCCTCCCGCCTCGGCGACCAGAAGGTTGTGGGTTCGAGCACCGAGTTTGAACAATCTGTTCCAGGCTGAATTCCAGCGCGCTGCTGGGGGGGAGAGGGGTGGGGGGCAGCGCTGCATTATCAAGAGAAGCCGTCCATTGAGATTTGGAACTGAGACCCTGTTTGCCTGTTGAGGTGATCAATGTTGTGAACCACTCAGGTGAGGTACCAGAGGCTATACTTGAACCTCCTCCAGCGAAAGGAACAAGTTGTACAGTCACTGCACTTTACAGTATATTCTGTGAAGCGCTTTGAGATGCGTCGAAGACTTGATAAGTCGCTATTATATCAAATGCAAGGATTATTATCGTTATTATAAGTTGTCAGGAATGAAAGAGGAGAAAAACTTTGATTGTAGACAAAGAACCATTCTGCTTTGTTCTGATAATATTGGGATTGCAAAATGTTGTGTATTGTGAGCAGTGCAGCTCAGAGGTTTATATACATATATATCTATTTTTGAAAGTCCCAGGACTCAGTAAATGTCTCTTCTCAAGAACTTGGAATTTGCGCAAGAAGCCAAGACAAAAATGTCAAT